TCAAATGATACCAAATTTTGAAAAGGATGAGAGGAAAGGGGAATGCTCATCCACTGCTGGTGGGATTGCAAATTTGTGCAACCCCTACAGAAAGCAGTATGGAAAACCCTTAAAAAACTAAAAGTGAACTTACCGTTTGACCCAATTATATCACTCCTTAACATATACCAAAAGAACTCATCCTATTGCAGAGACACTTGTACATCCATGTTTGTTGCTGCTCTTTTCACAATAGCTAAGAGATGGAAGCAACCTAAATGTCTCTCAACTGACAATGAAAACATGACACATTTACACAAGTGAATTCTACTCAGCAGTAAAGAAAGATGAAATCATGAAATTTGCAAGTAATGGATGGAGCTAGAAACTGTTATACTAAGTGAAGTTACACAGACTCAGAAAAACAAACAACATATATTCTCCCTCATATGTGGATCTTAGCACCAATTCCTCATAAGTGAGTATCTATCCAGACATAACTACAGGAACCAGAATAATGTAAAGGAACCAGGGAGGTAAAGGGAAAGAAAGAACCTGAGAGAGAAGAACAGTAGGAAATAGGTCTTACTAAGGGAGAAATGGATAAAAATGGGGTTATTTAAATGGAAGGGGTAGGTAGGGTTATACAAAGAACCTTGGGGATAAAAGGGAAAGAAGGAGCTCAAGAGAGATGGGGCCATAGAAGATGAGTATTATCAAGGGACAAATGGGGAAAATAGAGACACTTTAAATGGGGAAACAATGGTGGAAGTGTTAGAGAGGAGAGATAAATGATGCCTTGCTAGTCTTAAAAAACCAGAGGGAACCATATTAGTCCAACAACCTACTGACCAATTATATATACATTAACTCTACATGAGTCCATGTGTATAGCTGGAGGCTGTATGGCAAGAAACTGCCAGACATGAAATACCTTCCTTTGAGTTTTTGGCCAGGGTGGGCCAAGAGACTCCCAAAATTTACTCAGGCTATTGCCAGAGCACTTGATGGCCTACCCCAGACCTTGAAGGTAAGACCCTGTTTCTGAAGGCAGATCATACTTCGGACACAGGATTTGGAGCCATAGAACTGCAACTTACCTGAAACCACTTCCCCTGAAGACTAGCTCTCAAAGCTTTGGAGAGCCCTATGAAGGTGCCAAGAGAAAACATCCAACACCAGCTTCAAGACCAAATAACTACATCAATGGCCAGCACAGCATACGTCATTGATGCAGTAGTGGCACTTTTATCTTGTGGTCAATCAACAGCTACCTAATTTGACTAAAAGTTCACTCAAAGGGAAGAAACTCAAGTGTGGTAGTGTAAACATAACTTAATAAACATGGCTGGAGTGGTCATAGATCTTCGCGAAAAACCCAAGACTGTCATATTGCTAGATTCATATGATTTCTTACTATGTACAAAACATGTATCCTTATATTTAAAGACAAATATCCCAGTCACCACTCATCAAAGAAGCTCATTTTGCATGGTTTGCTATTTTTAAAGAAACTTATCTAAGAACAAATAATATCTCTATACCATCTCTTTCTTTTCTTAGTACTAAAAATCCACTTATTCATACAAAATCTTGGAGGGGACAGGAGCAAGGAATATTGAAGTTATAAGTGCTGGACATATTAGGTACTTAGGACTTATAGTAACTTCATTGAGTTGGTGCTGTTTTTCTGTTAGATGTGAAGAATGCAAAACTTATGAATGCTTAATACCTTGCATCACGAGAGGAAATTGAGGTATCAGGTAAGACTCTGGATCCAGTTACAGACTCATCTCAACCATGTAGGATGCAGCAGTGCTGTTAGATCTTACTAATGAATGTAGTTGTAGAATAAAACATCCTTGGGCACACACATTGTGTTGTTTCCTCTACTCCACATGCCACCTGGATTTCTAGGCAATCTTCTGTTTGCCTCAATCTTACTTTTCCTCCATTATCAAGATTAAATAACTAATATGTCAAATTTTTATCCACTTCAGTATAGTATGAAAAGTCAAAAAAGACCATGCATATTTCATACTCAAATTTAGAGTTGAGGAAGAGAGACTACATCTCTCCACTCCTTCTTGTTCATTACAGGGAAATTTGACACTTCTTCATAAAGCAGAAAGTCAAAGGAAGACTTCTATGAATTTGGGCCCAGGATGCTATTATTCTGTCCTATTAACTGTACTGGCATGGAACCCATTTACAATGTTGTGTTGGTGTGACTTGGCAGTCCTTTTTTATTCAGAGGTTAAGAGTCTTCAGTCACAGATTCCACTAATAACCAACCATGCCTATATTCTTGTGGGTTTCCTAAGAAATGAGATGTCTAATGCCATAAGTAGGGTAGATTCAGGCAAATAAGGGTAGCTGATCTCTTCATCCCAGTATGAGGTTAAATATTTTGCCATTAGAGTGGACAAAGAAATGCATAAATTAAATAGCCTATTGTCCAGATAAGAGACAAACTTTTTCTTTTAACTCTTGACTGCATCCACAGTAGCATGAGGTGGCAAATCTGAAATCTTAGGATAATTTTTTGCTTCGTTTCTTTTATCAAGAACTTATTAGCTGTTTGTCCACCATAGAGAATGTTGAACAGAAGGGATGTCTTTGTCACATTTCAATGCAGAACTGCAATGGCTCTCAGCTCAGAAGTAGAAATTTTTTTCAGAAAACTCAACTGGGGTAGTACAAGATAGTAGGTGAATATCCAAGGGAATGAAAGTATTGTAGATTTGTTTTTTTGGTAAAGTTTAGAAAGAATGATGCTGAACTAATCTGTAAGCATGAGTAGTGAAGTACTCCATCTTGTGGGAAGGTATGACCTGTTTTTTGGAAATATTTCTAGGGAAGAATTTGGCGAGCAGACATTCCTGAAATTGTCTTTACAGTTCTTAATGTTTGAAATATTTATTCAGTTTGATTTCAGAAACATACTTTGTGTATTCTCATTGTCAAAATATCTTCAGCTGGAGTATTTAGCAAGATGTGAAATTTCTGATTAATAGCAATCTGGTATCTTGTAAAATGTTCCTTAGTTCTGAAATTCAGCTTTTATTTATTGACTTGCTAACCTTCCCTTGTACATGTGACATTTTCATCTTATTTCCCTCCAGTTCACCTTTTTATTTGAACAACTTATATTGCACAATTTTACACTAAGAAAACTACTTTGGGCCCTGTTATGTAAACTAAAGATTTTTTTCTGTAATATTCATTGGATTCTTTTCCTTTGTGTTTTGTCTTTTTGAGACATGGTTTCCCACTATCCCAACCTGGCCTGGAACTTGCTGTGGAGACCAGGCTGATCTCCATCTCACAGAGATCTGCTTCCCTCTGTCTCCTGAGAGTGCTGGGGAAATTGAAGACATGCACCACCATGTGTGGCTTTCCACTGGAATGTTGATCAATTTCAGTAAAGAAAGGTTCAAATTATATTGGTTGTTTCTCTTGCTAGACTGGAAAACTATGGCTATTATCTTCATTTTTTAATGTTTCATTTTCCAGAGAGAAGAGAAGTGAGAGAAGAGGAGAGAGGGGAGGAAGGGAGAGAGTGAAAACAAGTGTGATGGATGACAAAGATAAAAGAGAAAGTATGATGAGGAAAAAGTGCTCCTGTCAATCTACTTTCTTCTTCAATGAGAATATTACAGCTGCAAAAATGTACGGCTCTATTATTGTGGTGACACCTTGGATATGGCTACCCTCCTGTTTGTGGGGGATCTTATTGGGCTATCTGTTGATATCCCTATAGGATGCATTTCTTGGCCTTCATGTCTTAAAAATCTAAATTTTATTGTTTATTAAGTCTGATCTGGTTCCTAGTGAAATACTGGGTTAATTAAGACATTAATTATAGGGGATGTCTGCTGTTGAGTCATTTCATTACAAAACAAAATGGAAAACCAGAAAGTTTTAGTTTCATGATTTCAGGAAAGATCACTTAGAGGAAGAACTTCGAAAAAGAGGAATAAGTGTTAAACATAACCAAATAGTTACTATGCACCGTACTTCTGGGATTGTATTAAGCAAGATGGATGATTATGTTACACATAGTCTCACTATGATTGTGTCCAAAGTGACACTTGATTTTTTTTCCTAATCAATACTGTTTAATTTGTTGTATTGATAGCACATTATTAACCACAGGCCTCCTTCAGGATTCAGCATTTTGTGATCCCAGGATCACTGCTGATACTCTTAGAGGAGCAATAAGGGCCCATTAAGAAAAAAAAACAAAATCAAAGAAACTCTAGTCAAGAAAATAGAATCTCTGGCCTTGTTGTCATGGGACCATACCTGCAAAGGCAGGTTTACCTTAAGCCGTGCTAAAGAGGTAGGTTGAATGATTAGTCCTTTAATGAAATAATGTATTTTTTCTTCCTAGAATCTCCAGCCCCTAGTGCAGTAGTTTGCCAGTTTGCAGCCATGCAGCTTGGTAAGTCTGCCTGTTTTCATAATTTATTCAGAAAAGTATAGATCCTCCTTTTTTCTTTCCATCTTTTTTTCTAAACAGCTTTCCTAACACTTCAGGCTTCCTCAAAATTTTGGGATTCCTTACTCTTTCCTGCCCTATGACTGCTTGCTCATCATGCCTGATGTACATATTGGTGCAAAGGGCACTCCTTTTTAACCTTGTTCCCTCCATTCTCCTTCTCCAGGCACCTGCTGAGAATTATAGCTTCTCTCTCTGCCCTGTTTTTTTGTGTTTTCCTTTTAAACTCTAACAAAATTTTCTTAAAGCCTTCTTTTAAAATCCATTCTTAAGGTATTTTATTAAAGAAACTAAGAGCCCCAAGGGTGGACTCCAATGACTCTGTATCTACACTTCCATAAAATGGAAGAATATATGTACATAGCCTATGCACATCCTCCTATATACTTTAAATCATCTCTTGGCTAATTATGATACTCAATGAAATGTGTCATATAAATAGTTACTATACTGTATTGTTTAGGGAATAATGATAAGAAAATAAGTTTGCATTTGTTCAGTACAGATAATTTTTTTACATACAAAGTACGAATACAGCCCCCCACTACCATAAATTATGCAGTTGCGTTTCCTGCATTTTGAGAAATCACAGGGGTCAGAACACTCAGAATGCAATGGATGAGCATCACTTGGGGAAAACCAACTTCTTGATCATGTTATCTCCTGTGCCAGGTAAGTATACAATTTGGGGTGAGGGTTAAGGGGAACAGGATCTCACTATGTAGTTCTGGCTGTCCTGAAACTTGTGACATGGATTAAAATGATTTTAAGTCATACAGATCTAACTACCTCTGCTTTCTGAGTGCTGGGATTAAAGGTGTACACCATCATACCCAGCACAAATACACATTTTTAACAATTTGTTGATTAATTTCATTTCCAGTTCATGTATGAGTGTTTTCCTCTCATTCATGTAAGTGCTCCAAGAACATGATCTGGAGGCCAGAAAGGAGTGTCAGATGCCCTAGAATTGTAATTATGAATGGTTGTTAAGCACCACCACATGGTTGTTGGAAACCAAATCCAAATCTTCTGGAAAAGCAACTAGTGCTCTTAATTGCGGAGCCATCTCTCCAGTCCCAAAGATATAAGAACTATTTTCTGAAGTTGGCTAAATGTGAGAATAAGGAAGTTGACCATATTAATTTTCTTCCATTGTCATATGGTAGTTTGTTTGAATTACTGATAATTATTGCCAAGTTTTATGTACTTCAGAAACAAAATCTTAAAAATATTTAAAAGTAAAATGTAGTATTTAAAATATACCAAACCAGGGGTAGGGATACAGTGTATTAACAGTGTTTGCCAAGAATATGAATAGCTGGGACTTGGGGAACAGCATAGTAGTAGAGCTTTCATGTAACATATACAAGGCCTGAGTTTGACCTGCTATTTCACCAAAAGAAAATAAAAAGACAACAGAAATGTACAAAGTCTCTTAAACACTAAATATTATTATTATTATTTTCTAGCAACCTCAAGATTTAAATAAGGAATGCTGGGTGTGATGGTGCACACCTTTAATCCTAGCCCTTGGGAGGCAGAGGCAAGCAGATCTCTGAGATGGAGGCCAAATAGTGACTTTCAGGTTGGTAGTAACTAGTGAGACCCAGTAAAAAACAAACAAACAAACAAAAATATTTAAATAGGGATCTAAAAATAATTCTGCTTACTTATGTTTCCACAATTTTTGTGAAGGTTGTTTTACTCTACAGAGCTTTATAAAACCAGTAAGTTGAGTTATGACAGTAAGAATAAAAATTGTCTATGTTCCATTTACAGATGAATAGATAAAGAAAATGAGGTGTATCTATGCAATTGAATTTTTTTCAACCATCGATAAATACAAAATTATGTTATTTGTGTGAAAATGGATGGAACTGGAGATCATTTTACTTTGTGAAAAACACAGACTCAGAAAGACTAATCCTACTCGTTTTCTCACATATTTGGAATCTAGAGTCAGACTGGTATGTGTGTGGTGGTGGAGGGGGTGACTATGATAGGGGAAGAAGAGATCTTAAGTTAAGAGGACAGTGTAATGGGATACATGTGCCAGATGTGAAAGCAGACGTGAATACTGTATACAGGGATGAAGGTGACAAACAAGAGAGTATAGTGGGGATGGAGTATGGCAATAGGGAGTATGATGAATTTTTAAAATGTATAATGACATATATTTGAAAATACCACAATGAATCCCTTCACTTTGTAGGATAATTTAACAAATATTTTTTAAACTTATAAGACTAGAGAAATCTATTTTATCTATCATAAAAGCAGATTATTTAATCATTATAAAGTTGTTCATCTTAAAAATCTTAATAATATAGGAGTAGGTGGTAATTTAATACATAACAATAAATGTATATTCCTAATAAGAGTTGAGCATCACCCTTTCAGTACTGACATCATTGTCTTTATTAGTTAGAATGTTCATTGAAATAAAAAATATTAAAAAAATGAAAAGACAAATCATCTTTACAGGTTTTATGTAATTAGAAACATGAGAAATGTTTTCTCATTAAAAAAAACACTTAAAATAATCAAAAATTATTAAGCAATTCATGTAGAAGTAAGCAACAGTGCTATTCAAACAAATAAAAGCTGGGAACTGGGAACAGCAGATGTAGTTCAGTGGTGGCATTTGGCTAACATGCTCAAGGCCCTGAGTTTGATCTCTAGCACTGCAAACAAAAGATTCTTCAGGGTAAATGGGATATTAGAAATCAAAACTCCAGGGCCATCCTTCACAAAAATAGAAAGTAGTGATCTTACATTTCACATGAAAGTATTATTGCGCGCAGTTCGCGAGACCCCAAAGACCACCAAGGAGCTGACCGATGCAAATACACAGGGTCCTTTTATTGTTACAAGCTTAAGCTTGGGGACACTCTGTCACCAACTCAGCGGATCTCAGATATGAGAACCCTTGCTTTGGGAGACAGAGGTTTTTATAGGTTTATTTCAGCAAGTTTGCAAGTAGGGGAGTAGGAGGTCTCCAATCTGGCAAGCGTCTGATTGGTTGCAGCCAAGTGCAAAACTACAAACTGCTGGCTTCAGGAAATCTGAAAAGACATCTGGACTTTCAGTACTTTCCTGTCCCTGGTTAACTGACCATTGGTGGGGGAGTTGTGTTTTATCCAAGTATACTTTTTTGGGGGGTTCTCCTGGAACAGGATTCAGGGCTGGGTCAGTCCCATGGAGGTTTTAACCAAGATGGAGTCACTCAGGTCTCTCATTCCCCCCTCTGACTAGTACCTTGGGGGCCCAATCATGGGCACTTCCTCATCTCATGTTCATCACCCAGACTCTGGAGGGACTGATAGTGGGTTCACATTACCATTAGCTGTATATATCCCAGCTGCTCCTTTATAAAAGCTACCAATTTATTTAAAATGAAAGGTCCAAAAGTCAAGAGCATAATCAGAATGAGGAGGAGTCTGAGTAAGGTTGAAATTAAAGTGGTCAACCAAGGGGAACTATTGAACCAGGATTTAAACCATCCTTGTTTAGCCCTATATTCATTCTCTCTTCAAAACAGACTTTCTCTAACCTTTGCCAGGGATTTTTTTGCCGACTCCAGAGTGGTCTACATAAAAACAACACTCTTCCTTGAGGGCAGCCCAGAGGCCTCCCTGCTGCAAGAACAACAGATCTAGTCCTCTTCTATTCTGCAGAACAATTTCTGCCAAGGAGGTTAGGAATAATGGGAGGGGGCACTCCAAACATGATCTCAAAGGGGGTTAATACCATCTGGTAAGGGGAGCTATGCACTCGATAGAGTGTGAACGAAAGGAGAGTCACCCAGTCACTGCCAGTCTCTAAGGTCAATTTAGCTAATGTCTCTTTTAGAATTTTATTTATTTATTTTTACCTGTCCTGAACTCTGGGGTCTATAAGCACAATGCAGTTTCCAATCAATCCCTAGAACTGTGGCCAGACTCTGACTTACCTTGGACACCAAAGAAATGCAAATAAAAACTCTATAGAGATTCCATCTCATTCCATTCAGAATGGCAGTCAACAAGAAAGTAGACAAATAGCTAGACAAATAGGGATTTCTATATATAGTTAGTGGCAGTATAAACTAATACAGCTACTATGGAAATCAGTAGGGTAGCTCCTTGAAAAAACTGAAAATCGATCTACCAGGTGATTCAATTTTTCCACTTATTGGCATTTACTCAGAATACTCCAAGCCAACATGATACATAGGTATTTGTCTTTCAGCATTTGTTTTTACACTATTCACAAACAATATGATACTATACTTAAGAGATCCTAGAAGTTCCACCAGAAAACTCCTAGAATTGATCAACACATTCAGTATAGTGGCAGGTTATAAAATCAATCTACTAAAATCAGTAGCCTTTCTTTATACCAATAACAAGCAATTGGAGAAAGAGAACAGGAAAATGCTCCCATTCACAATAGCTGATATATACCTGATATATAGCTGATATATAGCAGGTATATATATATATACCTGACCAATGACACCAAAGATCTTTACAATGAAATTTTTAAATCATTTAAAAAAGAGATTAAGGAAGACTCCAGGAGATGGAAGGACCTCCCATGCTCAAGAATTGGAAGAATTAATATTGGGAAAATGCCATCCTACCAAGAGTCATATATAGATTCAATGCAATGCCAATCAAAATCCCCATAACATTCTTCACAGAATTGGAAAAAAATCCTAAGATTCATATGGAAGCACAAAAGACCTCAGATAGCCAAAGCAACCCTGAGCACTAAGAGCAATGCTGGACCAGAGTAATAATAATAGTATACTCAAAGTATACTATAGAGCTATAGTCATAAAAACAGTGTGGTACTGGCACAAAAATAGACACATAGATCAATGAAACATATTGTCCAAACCTGAGTACCCAAATTCAAATACATGCAATTTCAGCCACCCAATATTTGACAAAGGTGCCAAGAACACAAAATGGAGGAAAGACAACATCCTCAATAAATGGTGTTGGAAAAACTGGATCTCCACCTGTAGAAGAATGAAACTAGATCACTATCTTTCACCTGGCACAAAAGTCAACTCCATATGGGTCAAAGACCTCAATGCAAAACTGAAGCTATTAGAAGAAAGTATTGGCAGTAACTTAACAAAATATAGATGCAGGAAAGAGTTTTCTAAATCAGATAGAAGTTTCTCAGGCATTAATGTGAGCAATCAACAAGTGGGACCTCATTAAACTAAAAAGTTTCTGTACATCAAAAGAAACAATCAAAAAAGTTAAGAGAAAACCGACAGAATAGGGAAAAAAATCTTCACCAGTGACATATCTGACAGAGGGTTAACATCCAGATTATCGAAAGAACTCAAAAAACAAAGAATTGAGAAATTAAATGAACAAATTAAAGATGGGCTAAAGATCTAAGCAGAGAGTTCTCAAAGGAAGAAATAAAGATGACTAAGAAGCATCTCAAAAAGTGTTCATCATCATTAGTAATTGGGAAAATGCAAATTAAGACCATCCTAAGGTTTCCCCTTTCCCCAATCAGATTGGCTAGGATTAGGAGAACAATTGATAGCAAATGCTGGTGAGGACAAGGAGAAAGGGGAACACTCATTCACTGCTGGTGGGATTGCAAACTTGTGTGACTCCCATGGAAAACAGTGTGGAGAACTCTTAAAATACTAAAAACAAATATA